GGAGAACTCAATTAATCAATCAATCAAAGCGGATAGATACGTTTCCGCAAAAGAAATTCCGTAATATTCTTGAGAGATTAGATAAAGCTACTGCAGGAAATCCCAATTTTTCGGTAATAAAAAAAAACTAGAAAATGTGATTGGTATCACGTGAGAGGGGGGTAAAAGAAAAAAGAACTTCAGTGATGCTCTCAAATTTGTATGAGATGCGGGGGTGGAGGGGAAAAAGAAAAGAAAGAAAAGAAAAATCCCCATATTTCCCCTTGGAATAAGCTTAAAGCAGACGCACGCGCTATGCGCGTGTTACATGTATGATCTGATAAGATAAATTAATCAATCAAACCCTACCAACTAGTGTGCACCCCGTGCAAAAGCAAAGCACAGCTTTTATTTTTTATTTCAGCTATAATAATTCTATATTTAAATATAGTTTTTACAAGTGTTACAATAATATTTTTTAAATACTATAATATCCTAAATAACGCTGAATAATGCTACAATGATACCATTAAAGTAATAATTTATTATAACAAGAATGAGAGGCACTAGGGACACATCCTCTATCACATTCCCAACCACACCACCTCTCTTGCTACAGTGCACAAGGTCCACATGAGATTTTAAAAATTAAAATCTCATGTTGGCCCCATGCACTGTAACAAGAGAGGTGATGTGGTTGGGAATATGGTCGAGAATGTGCCCCTATCATTATTTTAATAAATATTAGCCACTCCATTCCTTACACAGGAATAAATTTCAATGTGGAAGAAGGCTGGACGGTCCACGTCCTCTGCTCTCGAGGAGCCCAATCCTTTTGTCTCCACCTGTATTATCTGCTGCTGCTGCTCTCTCTCTCTCTCTACCCCTCAAAGTCTATAGCTGTCTTTTTTTTATTTATTATGACTTATCCCTGCCTTCTTTTTATAATAGCATCGAATTCTCCCATTGATGCTGTGCCTGCTGCCGCCGCCTCCTCCGCCTTCTCTTGTCAAGGTGCCTCCCCTTCCATCTTTTTCTCTTTGCGTTTCACCACTGTTTAAAATCAAAATCTGCTATAATTCTTCATAGCCGAACGAATCCTCATAGTTTTCTCTTCTCTTTGAGATCAGTACATGCAACCTTTTTTTACTTTTTCCTCTTTTTTTTTTTTTTGAAGTTTTGTTACTACCTTTTTACCCGTTGCTAGATCCGTTACTATGTTAGTTTGCCTTTTTGTTTTGTTTTGCACTTCAATTAGCCTCGCACCCATCTCGAGCCTCTGCACAAACTTAGCACCCACCTTGGGATTTGTCTGATCTGTGATTTTTGAAAGTTTCGATCTTTTTTTTCTTACCAGTTTATCATGTTGAGTCGTATGCAATCTGTCTCTCTGTCCCAGAGAATCCCCAATTTGGGATTTGTTTGATCTGTGGTTTTAATTCACCGAGTATTATAGAAGCTTGATTGCTGTTGCGCTGTGTGATTCTGTAACTTTTCCTGTTTAATTTACTCAGACCCAGCCGATTCCTGCACTTATCTTGGAAACATTTGGGGATTTATTTGTTCTGCGATGTTGGAAACCTCCATCTTTTTAGTTCTGGACTCTGTTCCTTTTCCTTTTTATATATACGCGTGAAATTACTTCACGCCCATCTGATGTGTGCTCATATTTTTTGCAAGACTTGGGGTTTATTTCATCCGTGACATCTGAAGATTGAACCTTTTCAACTACCAATTTATCATCTCAATCCATGCGATATGCTTCTTATGTTCTCTCATATTGATGTCTTTGTATAATTTGTCCCATCTCGTTGTTAGCATCGAATTCTCCCATTGATGTTCTAGCTGCTGCTGCCGCTGCCACCACCTTCTTCTTTTTCCTTTAATTTTCACCATAATTTGAATCAAACTCGATGAGATTTCTTCGCAGGTGAATCCTGTGTTGAGATCACAGAGTTCTTTTTTGAAAATTATTACTTGCAATGCTTTTTAGATTTTTTTTTAAATGAAACTTCTCTATAAATTTTGTAATTAGATTTACCATTTATGGATCTGTTTCTGGGGTTTTCTTGTGAACTTCGATTAGTTCCAAAGTAGATGTTGGTTGCTAATTGCTATTCTTCAGAATTTTGTGGCTTTTCCTCAGAATTTTGTGGCTTTTCCTTTTTTCTAATGAAATTACTTCACACACATCTAATGCCCTTCACATACTTTGCCACAACTTGGATTTTAGCTGATCCGTTAAATCTGAAAGCTCCAATTCGAAATTGTTTATATTTTTTAGTAACCAATTTATCCCTTATAAAATCTATTTCTGTAACAGATAATTTCCGCTTCAAAGGGTACTTTTAATCTTCTTGACTGAGCATTAGAATGTCAAGTGGTCAAAGCACACACTGGTGCCATAGATGCATGAGAGCAGTCCATCTCTGCCACCAGGACACTCTTTGTTGCCCCCATTGTAGCTCAGGCTTTGTTCAAGTACTCGATAATAATCATGTTGATACGATGGGGGTTATTGCTGAATTAATGAGCCGTAGGATTGGGTCTAGGAGAAGGAATCATGATACAGGTCCTTGGTTAGTTTTTCAAGGCCAGGGTTTTGATGATCGGCCCTTTGGTGTGCTCTTCAATGAAGGCCCAGGACTAGGAATACGCCGTGGCAATTCTGCCGACTACTTTGTGGGCCCAGGACTTGATGATCTGATCGAGCAACTGACACAGAACGATAGAGGTGGGCCACCGCCTGCACCTCAGACATCAATTGATGCTATGCCCAATGTGACGATCGGAGAGAGGAATTTAAGGAGTGGTGATTCTCACTGCCCTATTTGCAAGGAGAATTTTGATTTGGGGTCTAAAGCTCGAGAGATGCCTTGTAAGCATTTGTATCACTCTGATTGCATTGTGCCGTGGCTTGAGCAGCATAATTCTTGCCCGGTGTGTCGTTGTGGGATGTCATCGGATGGTGGTAGGAGGAGAGGTGGAAGGAGCCGTGGGAGGAGGAATTTGTTTTCTTTCTTGTGGCCTTTTTGCTCATCTAGCTCGGTTTCAGGTTCTTGACTGAGACTTGAGGAAGTGATTCTCCTGCTGCTGAGTCTGGACACACTTCTCACTAATTGGTATTGTTTCTCTGTCCTTGTTGATATTTAAGCACACTTTCATTACAAGTGTTTTAAGATCTAGGCAACTCAGTGAACTTATCTATGAGGGAAAAGTATCGTAGTGTGTTGTTGTTCGTATACTATTTTATGTAAATGTTGACATGTCCTTGGATTGAAAGCGCAATAAGATTAGTTTGCATATCCTCAGAACCTTTACAGGGATTGCGCGTGATCAAGTTTTGGGAATGTGATATTTATTTTGCAAAAGATAAGTTTTCTATATTTGTGGCTTACATTTTACATCACAGAATCAAAGGCTTTTTGGGAGTGCAAACTCTCTATGGCATAGCTTTCTTTGATGAATTACCATACATCTTTTGGATGATATCTTTGGAGCGGTTACATTTCTAACCCATCAAAGTAACACTGGACACCTATTAAGCTGTAGTGTGTGCAAACCAGTGTCTTATCCCATGGTCGACCTTGCTCGCGTAATCATCTTGGTTCTGATGCCGATTCGTTTTGTTAACGGTTGGTGCTCGCATCTACGAGGTGTTAGTAATGGACTGAACTCACTTTGGAAGAGAGTTTTAGTGATATAATTGCACTTATTTGGAAGGTTAATTTATCATCCATAGAGCCAGACTTGCGTGCAATGTTCAGGAAACTCGATCTATTACATGTTCTCCTTATTTCTCATGTATGATTTCCAAGTTACTTCCTCTACATATTACTTATTTCACGTATGCGTGCACGCTTGCTCCACCTTTATCCTGTAGTTGATACCCACTGAAGTTCCTTGAACTTTAGCCTTCATATTCTTGTTCAATGAACTCTCTCAAGCATAATCTGTTGCTCGTTTTGATTTTGTGGAGAGAATCTCGCTTGATAGCCAGTGAGGTTTACTTTATTCCACATGAGCTGTGAAACAAAGTGAGGAAAATCCAAGAGGCCACGAGACTTGGTTGGATGCTTTCGTGTTGGAATCTGATTCTCTGCTCTTTTTTTTTTAAAGATTTTCAAGGGTTTGCTATAGAAATTTCTGGTACTCTTACCATCTTTGCTGGTGTGTTCAGAACAAATACAAAGTGGAGGTAAAGGTGGTCATGTTCCCTTGTCGAAGAAAGTTCAGTGATTCATAAAATAAGCATTACTTTGCCCTGTGGCTTTCGCACTGTACTACTAGTGCTCAACAGCAGTGTGAAATGTGGAAGTGGAACAAACCCACACAACAAGTCAGCTCAGAGATGATCTTTATTCATACCTCATGAATCTAACTGGGGTTTCTATTTGGCCTTCAGATCACTGTAATCTTAGGAAAAAGATAGAAACAATCAGCATGTAGCTTCCCCGTAAGATCATCATACTTTCTTCTGAACTGCACAGGAAATTAATTTGCAAGAACAGTCTCAATTTTTATTGAAGAACAGTAGTCAGCTCAGAGCCAAAATAGTGTATTTACAGTACTAATTCAATCACAGTCCATGACCTAAGAACATAAATGGTATCAAAAAGAATTAAAGACCAAGATCACGGCACGTGTCTTGTAGTCTTTGAAACTTCGGTTTGCTACTTTAACGTTCGGTAGGAGTATTCACATTTGATTTGGAATCAACGCGGTCATCAACTTCTGCTGGAGAGCCAACATGTGAATCATCACGATTCAACATCTGAATCATCACGATCATCAACATTTGCAACGACATTTGAAGCAGCATGCATGATCATCAACTTCAGAGCCGACAGTTGAATTGGCAGGATGATCAACTTCTGAAGGAGGCTTGACACTGGAATATGCAGGATCCTCGCCTTTTGCAGGAGGCCTGACAGTTGAATTGGCAGGTCTGACGACCTTTGCTGGGAGGGTCAACATTTGAATCATCACGACAATCAACTTGTGCTGGAGTCTCAACATTTGGACCATCAGATCAGCAACTGCTGCAGTGGCATTTGAATCATCACGACCGTCCGCAGCAACATCGACTTCTGCAAAAGGCCCGACACTCGGATCATGGAGATGGTCGACTTCCGCAAGAGGGTTGACGTTTGGATCAGCACCGTGATCAACTTGTGCAAGAGGGTTGACATTTGGATCAGCGTGAAGTTGGTCATCAAACTGTGCAGGGTGATCGCCTTCTGCGGGAGTGTCGACATTTGAGCCATCAAGGTCACCAATTTCTGCGGTGAGGTTTGGATCAGCGGGGTGATCAACTTGGTCAACGTATGGATCATCATGAGAATCAACTTGTGCAGTGTTGCGCGCAACGGAAATTTCGGCAGCACTTCAGCAGCACAACAAGAGAGTCCGGTCGCAATAAGAATTCTTGTTTCTCAAAGGGAATAAGAATCTGAAGCCTATATCCTATCAAAGTAGGATATTAGCTCTTCCTCTCGTCAGCTCTAGGACTGCGCGTCGAGGGACCCTAAAAGCTATTACAAATCACATAGAAGCAGTACAACCAATTTTAACGTGGTTCGGCAAATTGCCTACGTCCACGGGGCAAGGAGGGAGAGATCTACTAATAGAGGAAGAGAATACAACTAGGGTTTACAATTACTCTCAATCTAAACCCTCAAACAAACTCTCAAATCCCTCACAATATCTCTCTACAAAAGATGCACAAAACCCTAGAGAGGGGCTGCTCAAGCACAAAGAAAACAAACAAAACGGCGACTTCCTGTAGCCGCAAAATATTCCTCTGCCTTGCACGCCGTAGCCGCCAACAAGTACTCCTGCACGTTGCCTCCTTCGCACACCAAAGCTTAGGGCAAAAAATATGGCTATTTATAGCCTGCATCGAATTTGGTTTCGGCGTGGGCCTTCGTGGGCTCCTCACACGAATCTGGTTCGTGAGGTTTGAGGTTGTGACACGACATCTTCGATAGCGAAGCTGTTGGCTCCCACTGTGGTCGCCAGTTTGTTTGCGTCGAAAATTTTTGTATTCATTGCGGTATTCATTACAACTTTAGTCGTTACAACGAAATCAAAAAGATTGTCTTTTTATAAGACTTTTACACAATGAAAACAAAAGTTTACAACTCTCGTCAAAACAAACGCAGAGATCGTTTATCGGTCTTCTGCTTGCGTGGGATCTTTGCCTGTGCCGGGGTTTATCCGTGGACCGCCTTAGATCTGGATCCGGTTGATGGAAAATTCGGCAGAGTTTCGTCTTCGCCGAGGAAGTATTTGATTTGAAGCGCTGAGATCGACCAAGCGAAATCAGGGCTCTTCTCGAGATTAAGACCAAGCCTAATCTCAAGGGACGGGAACGGGCGTCGGATCTCTCGAACTCTCCTTCTTTATGCCGAAGAACTCGCCAAGATCTGTCAATCCTCGCTGAAATTCGTGCTCCTTTGACTCCACAATCCGGCAGCACCTCCTCGTCTTGATAATCAATCGCCCCCGAAAAATGGAGGCCTTTGACTCATATTTATAGGCCTCGAATGCGGTTATTTGGATGAGAACAAGTGATTTGGCTCTATCTTCAGTTGACAACAGCCTAACCACGTTTGGGGATGGTCTCAAGTCAGTTAAGAACCCCTGGAACCGATAAACCCTGCAAAAAAAACCAATTTAAAACCGTCAAAACGTGTTTTGAAACATTAGACTGCTGGGGATGGTCTCAAGTCAGTTAAGAACCCCTGGAACAGATGAATCCTGCGAAAAAACCACTTTAAAACCGTCAAAATGCGTTTCGGGTACCAAACTGCGCGGCAGACTGGTCTGACCTGCGCTTGCGCGGGGACCCGCGCTTGCGCGGGTCGGACCAACCCGACCCGCGCTTGCGCGGGTCGGGTTGATCCGTCCCACGCTCGCGCGGGTCGGTTTGTTCCGTCCCGCGCTCGCGCAGGTCAGTTTGTTCTGTCCTGCGCTCGCGCAGGTTTGTTGATTTTTTCTTCTTTTCCGTTCTCTTTCTTTGAGACTTGTCCTTTCGCGTGTTTGGTTCGCTTCGTTGATTTATATGCTTTGAGTTGATTGACGCGTGCGTGTTGATTGACGCATGCGAGCTGATTGGCGCGCGCGAGCTGACTGTCAAGCGCGCAGGTCACTTGATTCGCCGTTTTGCTTCTGTAGGCTGTCTAAAAATCACAATAGATAGCTTATCCCCCATCAAAACACCGATGATGGAAGTTATAATCTGACGACTTCCAGAAGGCTACAATTTGAGGACTTTCACGTAGAAGGTTACAATCTGACGACCTTCACAACAACTAATGAAAGCCCCAATTCAACAGCCTTCACAATCAACATCGGGAGTTACAATCTGACGACTCTCATATTTACAAGAAGCCAAGACGAAGATCACAAGAGGACGATCTGTGCAAAGTTCTAGCAAAAGAGACTACAAATTGACGGTCTCTTCATATTAGAATGCAGATATCTCTCAAACCGTGAGGAATTTGGCAAAACGGAGAAAGCGAACCGAAGCCTTCGGCTCGGTTCGGATGGCCCCGTCTCGTCGAGATAGCCGATTTTCATATGTAATTCGTCCAATTCCGACGTACGGTTTGAAAGTTATGACCTGTTCTTCGTAGCAAGTAATGTTCTGAAGACCGTCTGCAAGACTGGACTTCATCAGAACATTGGACTTAGCCTGAAGCCCGCCAAGCCCACCTAAGGTTCGCCTCTGCATTACAGAGTCAAAGCGCACATGCTCAACTCTGCGTTTTCAACATCTAAACGCAGAGTTAATCGCTAAAACAGCACAACTGTGCGTTTTCAGCCTAAAACAGGCTTAACTCTGCGTTTTCAACATCAAAACGCAGAGTTAATCGCTAAAACAGCACAACTGTGCGTTTTCAGCCTAAAACAGGCTTAACTCTGCGTTTTCAACATCAAAACGCAGAGTTAATCTCTAAAACAGCACGAACTGTGCGTTTTCAGCCTAAAACAGGCTTAACTCTGCGTTTTCAACATCAAAACGCAGAGTTAATCTCTAAAACAGCACGAACTGTGCGTTTTCAGCCTAGAACAGGCTCAACTCTGCGTTTTCAACATCAAAACGCAGAGTTAATCTCTAAAACAGCACGAACTGTGCGTTTTCAGCCTAAAACAGGCTTAACTCTGCGTTTTCAACATCAAAACGCAGAGTTAATCTCTAAAACAGCACGAACTGTGCGTTTTCAGCCTAAAACAGGCTTAACTCTGCGTTTTCAACATCAAAACGCAGAGTTAATCTCTAAAACAGCACGAACTGTGCGTTTTCAGCCTGAATACGTAGACTCGGTCGTTTTT